TCAGAACTCACAAACATAATTTACACCAACAGAGGTGTTCACATATGCCAAAATGATTCAAAATATATCAGTTTCACAAGTGATTTAAAATGAATGGTCATGTGGCAGCTGAGTAAAATCCCTTGCTTTCCAACCCAAAAGCATTTTTCCAGCCCCCCCCCCCGAATCCACACTTCCATATATGTCACGTAGTCACTTTTTTAAAAAGGGGGTTCAAACATGCTAAACCTGATTCAAGTACAGTTTTCCCCACGTGTAACTGCACTCTGGCTATGTTTAGGTCTCCTTTTGTGTCTCTTCCTTTCTCCCCCACCAACTATATCTTCTGCAAAAGGACAATGAATGTAAGAAAACTAAAGAAAAGTATCAAGCCACAGAACTGGAGAAGGGAAAAGAGGAACGTGGACTTCAAAACACACGCACTCTCTCACACACAATAACTAAGGGACAGAGATAGAATCTAAATGGGCAGTGTTCACACACAAGCATACGATCTGCAGGCACAAATACAGTTTGTATTTCCCCAGGAGAGTTTTAAAATCAAAAAGCAGATCAATTAAAGAATCCCTTGAAGCAAGGTTAGAATAAGAGGGCTGCAAAATGCATGCCTTGAACACGATGCTTGTCCGTGACTCCGCAAACAGTTAGGAAAGTGGAGATTCACATGCATTTCTAATTTATGTAAATATTTATTTAAAGTCTGTGCTGTGTTAAACTGAAACACCTGGGAAATGGTACTGCAGTCCCAGGGCAACAGCATATTGACAGTGGCAGAAGGAAATGGTCAAAGTTTATCCTGCTTGTGGGAATTCAGAAATCAACCACACAAATAGGAACTATAGTGAGACGTAAAAACATCTATGAAAATGAATTGGAAGCATGTATTCTATGCATCCTGCTGGTCCCTGTTCTCATTACAAAAAGATTTTTAAAAAACACAATCATGATATTGGTGATTTAGGTTCTGTGACAAACTGTACAGTCTTTAAAACAAAAAAACTTTCATTTTTTAAAAAAGTCAATATTTTAAGTCTTAATTTTCATCAGCTTTGGGTGGCTTCTAATTTATGAAGAGTCAGAAAAACAATGTTACTCACATAGTCAAGGCATCATTCTTTTAAAAAGGAGAGAGAGAGATCAAACATTATTGGTGGAGATGTATCACCCCTGATACGGAAAGTGGCAGAATCAAGTATTGTGGTGTAGGACACCACCTTGTGCTCTCTGGATGTATTGCACTGTGACAGTGCCAAAAGCCTGAGAAAGCTGTGGGAAAGAAAGGAACCCACCAAAGGAAAGTAACTGGGAAGGATACGGTGCAGAACTATATCTATATAATTGCTAAATCATTGCACCAATACCTTAGTTTAGCGCTATATCACCATTGCACAAACAGAGGGAGAAAAGATAAAAATTGATATGAAATACAAGCAACTCTGATGAACTTCAGCAATTGCTGTGTTTCTGTGGTACATGTGCATGTGTTTGCAAGGTTATGGAGAACTTTGGGAAACTGCCTCCATTTGCTCTCGTCACGGATCACACCCCATTGCAGTGGCTGAACAGAATGAAAGATACTAATCCGAGGTTGACCCCTTAGCCTAAAATCATTTGCCTTTAAAGTACAATATAAGAAGGGTAACGCTCATGCCAGTGCTGACTATTTTTCCTGACAGGGAAGCCAGCCAGGAGGAAGAGAGGACGGCCCACACGTCTGGGGTGTGTGTGAAGGAGAACTGAAAGAAAGTGAGCCGTCCTCAACAGGAGAGGTGGTCAGAGAGGGAAAAGGAAGTTATAGTATTGTCTGGTGTGTGTGTGAAGGAGAATTGAACGAAAGTGAACCATCCTCAACAGGAGAGGCGGTCAGAGAGGGAAAAGGAAGTTATAGTATGGAGGCATCTAAGGGAGGATAAGCCCTAGTGAAAGAGGAGGGGAAAAATAGAAGAGATGAAGGGAAAGGTGAAGCCCTAGTGAAAGAGGTGGGGGAAATAGAAGAGATGAAGAGAAAGGTTGGGGTCTGTTTGATGGAGGAGGGAGAGAAAGGGAAAGGGGAGGAGGAAAGGATGTCAGTTTGGGAAGAAAGTATAAATAGCCAGGGGGAGAGGTGGTTTGGCAGTAGATTGAGAAGAAAAGAAGGACGAGATAGACCAGAAACTGACTATGAGAAGGTGTGTGGGCTCTTGAAGGATTTCCTGAACCTGAAGGTTGGTGGACTGTTACCTGATCCCGAACCGAAGAAGGATGGAGAGACCGTATGTGATGCACAGGAGTGGATGGTGATTGTCTTTCCACGCGGACAAGGAAGAGGCAAAAAGGTGATATGGCCAGATCCCAGCTATAATAAACCACCTAAAGATGGAGACTGGGCAAGACACCCATGTTGTGGAACCATCTGCGCGGTGAGGAGTGCTCCCCTGCAGAACCCCACCAATCAGAAGCATTTTGGCCCAGCACCCCAGTGAGTTATCTAATAAACCACCTAAAGATGGAGACTGGGCAAGACACCCGTGTTGCGGAACCATCTGCATAGTGAGAAGTGCTCCCTTGCAGAACCCCACCAATCAGAAGCGTTTTGGCCCAGCACCCCAATGAGTCATCTGGACTTTCACTGCGAGTTAGTTTCTTCCAGTTATGTCCCGTTGCCTGATTTATCTTGCTTTGATCCAATTGAAATCATTGTTGAAAGATCAGAAACCAATAAAAGTGAAATTGTGAATCCAACTGACAAGCCTCCATCATTATTTCCCGCCAAAAGTGACGAACTGGTAAAAATTTTAAATGAACCCAATCACACCCCTCAATGTTGTGTGACTCCTTTAGAACAACCCCACTGGCTTGACAGTTCAGCTGCCACTCTGTATGTGAAGTGAAAATCAGAGTTCATTGCAGAAATAATTACTACTGGGCCAAGGGCTTGAACTGGCCCCAGGCCTGTTACCAAAAACAAAACAAACAAAATACCATTGCCATCTGATTCTGGTGAGGTGTGTTTTTAAAAAACGAACCAGTGTATAGAACCCTATCCATGCTAGGAAAAAATGTCCTCACACACGGATACCATCACTATAACTGAAGAGATGGATAGACAGGCATTATATATAAAGGTGAGAAAAATTGGAATAAATTAGAAGCAGAGTGATCCATGGATAACTCAGGAGTTTTAGGTGTCTGGCTGTGGTGCCAGAGGTTGGGAGTTTGATTCCCCAGTGTGCGTCCTGCAAGGAGAACCAGCCTGTGTGTGGCCTTAAGCAAGCTGCACAGTCCTGGGACATTCCTAGAAGAAGGAAATGGTAAGCCACTTCTGAGTACTCTCTACCTTGAAAGTAGATAAAGCACTCACTGCCCTGGAAAGGGTCATCATAAGTCAGAATTGACTTGACAGATTATGATTATGATTATTAGTAGTCATAGCAGTGTATGTATATTTGAGATGACATGATACTCATCTCATTATGGATTTGTCAAGTGCTGTTCCATGTAGAGGGCTAAGTAATCTCAAAGTTCTTCTGTAAAGGGCATTCCTGGCCATGCTACGGAGATCCATTAACTAGAGGTCTCCAGTTTCCACTTCTGAAAAGACAGTGTGCAATCTAACAGCCATAGCCCTTCTCGCCGAAATTATTCTCTCTCTCTCTCTGTGGAATCTAATTATAGAACAGATAGTGCTTGAGCTTCAAGGTGGCCTTCATCTAATTTGAGTCAGATTGTCTGAACCTGACAACAGTGTGACAGCACAATAATGGTCCTTCAAGTTTAACGTCATACTATTTTAATGTCACCCCCTACACTAGCAGCCCTTTTAACTTGGTCAGCAAAGCATCTTAGGTCCATTTTGCTTTTCAAAGAATTCAGTGTGCGCCATTATGGCTTAATAAGCATGTTGATGCCATATAGCACGTAACCTATAGATGTAATCTATCATAGCAAAAGTTTGTATCTATAGGAGTGTGTCTGCTTTCCCAGCTCCAAGGCCGTGAGACCTAGGCCAGAACAAGGCATTAGAGAGAGAGCTCATAACTAAAGGTTGATAGCAAGTTAATGTTGCATAGAGATGAATTGGATAGTCTTTTTGAGATGTGAAATCAGACCTCCAAGGAATCCTGTGTTTAAATCTTGAAGATGACTCACCAAACAAAGCAAGCTCATCTACCTAGTTCCAGATTTTAGAGAAGCTAGTGCTATGAAATTCAGATGCTCACATTAGTTAAGGATTCTCCTCTTCCGGTCATGGGCTCTCTCAGACAGCTGTTTCTGGCCTTAGACTTCATCCCTGAAACTTTCTGTGACTATTAAATCCCCTAAAACCACCTCTACACACTCTAAAGGCATATTCTTCTACCTGAAGAAATGGGCATGCTATGAGTTTTTGAAGCAAACCACAACTTCTCCAGAAATTAAAATTTAAATCAATTCTAAATTTTTATTCTTTGAAAAGCAAAAATTATTAGTTTATGTCAGTCTGATCGCAAGATGGTTGGAGAGCTTAGGACTTGAGAACTTGGTGTGCGTGCGTGCGTACATGTGTATGTGTGTGTGTGTTTGTGTGTGTGTGTGTGGGGGGGAGATGTAACTAATAATTTATTGCAGTGCTTTTCAAACTTGGATCCCCAGATGTTCTTGGTAACTAATCATCTAGTGCAGTGCTTTCCAAACTTGGATCCCCAGATGTTCTTGGACTACAACTCCCAGAAATCCTGGCCAGCACAGCTAGTGGTTATGGCTTCTGAGAGTTTTAGTCTAAGAACAACTGGAGACCCGAGGTTGTGAACCACTACTCTAGTGGGAAAGATTTGGTTTCTATCGCAAATGTACAATCCAAAGAAGACTACAGTATATTAAACCAAAGACACTACAAAATTTAACTATACATGAGATCGTCATTGCATGTTACATTCATGCATAATGTATGTTTCTTGGTGTTCACATGTACAAGATAAGTGGCAGGGAAAAGAAAAACATTGTCACAAAGATTATTTTATCAGCAAAAGAAATGGCAAATATTTATGAATATTGAAACTATTTATTGTTTTGAGGGATTCTATATTATTCTATGTCACACAGAAATGCTTTAGGAAAACAAGAGCAAGGTGAGATATTTGTCCAGGTCCAATTACAATTTAGCATTCACATGAATAGCAATAAATGGGTCTTCTGCCGAGGTCCTGATCTGAAAATAGCCCATGCCATCATTTTGGACATTAACTGTAATGCCAGTGCATCTGTTCCCCTCTTTCTCCCCAGAAATGATATCACAGTACGTGCCTCCAGGAAGCCCAGTTTGCAGATTTATAGATAAGTCCCTGTGGGAAAGAGATGCAAAATGAGTGACAATGTAAGTAGTGATCTTTTATAAATAACATTTAGTTGTTCAGTGCATTTGGTTGGTTTCGGACAAAGGTGGTGATAGTATGGGGAAGCCCTGAGGTCATTTTAGAAGACCTAAAAGAGTCCCAGAAGACTCTGCCATATAATGTAGGCAACAAACCACCACATCAGTAGATGGGACCATTTAAAAGATGTATACTGCTTGCTTTAAACAGGATTTACCAATTTGCTGCTGAAATTCAGCCCCAAACCCATTTAAAATGAGCAGATTCTTGCTTCAAGCAGCAGGCAGCTGCTTGCTGGCTGGATAGCTCAGTGAGTTATATTTCTGGATGTCGAGCCAGAGGTTGGGAGATCGATTCCTCACTGTGCCTCCTGCAAGTAAAGCCAGCTTGTGTAGCCTTGGGCAAACTGCACAGTCCCAGAACGCCCCCAGAACAAGGGAATGGCAAACCACTTCTAATTACTTTTTATCTAGGAAATCCTGAAAGGGGATGCTGCAAATCAGAATTGGCTTGATGACACACAGTTGTTATTATTATTATTAGTGGTTTGCCACCAAATATCAGCAGAAAACTGCTAAAGTACATTTAAAGCAAGTGAAATGCTTTAATTTTTTCCCCTTTGTTGCCAAGTTTTCATGTATAGAGGAGGGGGACACGGCTCATGGCAGTACCAAGGAAACGGATTTGGACCCCAAAGATGCTGGAGTTACTCATCTCAAGTCTAGAACCATCGTTCTACAAGCCAGTGCTCACTACCAGAATAATAGCTCATCTTCTGAAATCATTTGAGCCTCTAGCCTTCTTGGGTGTGGAACTGATGATGCTCAGATTCCCACTGCTGCCATTTTGCAGCAGGTTATGCAATAATTCTGTGCATGGTTATTAACCATAATACATACTGCTGGTTCCAGCTAGATAGCTGTGGTTTAAACACTGGGGAAGAAAAAAAAAACACCTCTGCTTGCTTACCAATCATCATTATTAAAGATGATGAATCCTTTGTTGCCACGCCCGAATGCCACCTGATTGTTACCATTTTCCCACCAGTTGACTTGAGGCTCTCCATTGACTACATTGCGGAAAATAACCATGTTTCTGTGGGGATAGGAAAGAGAAATTGGGTTGAGGGGCATATTTATTTATTTATTTATTTTACTATATTTCTGTGCCACTTTTCTTCAGGCCAGAGTGGCTTGCAATAACCATTAAAAAACCCGCAATACTTCAAAGGGAAAAAAATGTTATGGAATACATCAGTTAAAACATGAAATATAAAAACAAGAATTCAATAAATGCAAAGTAAATTGACGACCTGCACTGAAACAGGTCCTGGCTGAGCAGATTCAGAATAAGCCAAACAAGTAAATGAACAGTAAAGACCATTCACATTACTGTATTATGCTTTCAGCCCTACTAATGTTGTAGGGTGGCTGGTGAATAGCATCCCATTCCTTGAGATTTTAGGGCCAAAATCTTAGACTAAAACTTTGGAGTGCCATAAAGACAAAGAAGGCCAGAATTGGGAAAGGGGGCAGAATTCTTTCTGGAACAGTTTGTTGTGGGATTAGACAGAAGAGGAGCCAGACTAAGTGGCATTAGAATCTAAATAAAACCAGATAAAATGGGTGATATGGCACCCAGAAAGGCTATTTTTGGCAGCAGTGCAAGCAGCAAAATATATTGAGTCTTTGTAGCAGTTCATCGCCGTTTGACATTGGACTTTCACACTGTGCACCCTTAACTACAGCACATGTAACATCTGGAGAGGTTTTCAGGTCCTGCTACTGCTATTGGGACGTGCAGAAAGCTCTGTCAGGACTCATGCGACAAGAAAGCTCCTGAGTCACAGCGCTAGTGCTCCATCCCCTGCCATGTTTCAAGTGACATGATGTGTGCAAGTCCATCCATCCAACTATTATCTCCTCATTTGTCTCTCCTTGCACCTGGCTTGTTGGTTTATCAATACAGGATGAGCACAACATTCAACTGGGGAAATAAACCCAACACTTTGACAGGAATCCAGGAAAGAGTGAAGCATGGGTAAGGTGATGCTCAAGTAGTGGCCTTCAGTGGCCTTATTGCTGTATTAGGTAAGAGCCAATAAAAATTTACATTGTCTAACCTTATTTGACGCCATCGATGTTCACAGACCCAGTTATCACCACAGGTGGTGTCTGGATTGATTGGGACCGATTTAGTTGACCCATCAGGATTGCTTGGAGGCCCAATCCAGTCATTCTGATCCTGATAGTCGAGCATGCGTTGGTAAAACATGAATGTTAAATTAGAAGTGTTCAATGAATTGCTGGAAACATATACACTAGCTGATCTAATGAAGAGCAGAGTATTCTGTTAACCAAATGTGGTCAGACGAAGGATGTGGTCACATGGAAAAATAAACTGCAATCTGAATGACTTGTGGAGTGGTTTGGTCAACCTTTTTCCCGATGATCACACAACACATGGGGAAATGTGCTTTAGCCCAACCCTATTTGTCCCTAAACTGGTCCAGTTGTGGGGCTTCTACCCTTTGCAACAGTGATTTTGCAACAGACAAAAGAGTCATTTTAAGGGAGATCTCTGCCATTAAAGCAACCTTTTCTGGTGCAATCAGGCATGCACCTTTGCAGCTGTCTGATCACACCCTGAGTATACACACAGCAAAATGAATTGAGAAGTGATAGTAAAATACAGAGATCATATTATGAGTGTTCCCTGTATACTCTGCAAGCAGTAAGCTAGCCCATCAAGGATGAAAAGAACTATGTATTGGGCTTTTATTTTTGGCAGCCTTTTTTCTCTGAGGAGAACTCAGCAATGGTGTATCTCACAATGGTGTCCATTCTGAAATCTCATGATTCCTATAGCATGTGGATATGGCTGGGCTTATTTCTAAAGTGAAACTTGAGAGTTCTGGAGCCACCAGCAACCTAGAGATGGCTTTGAGATCCAAGAGGCATGTTCATACTTTTTCATATTTTAATTTTGATGCATTAAAAATATTAAGTTTGGTACGTTAAAATCACAAGCATAATTTAGGAAGACTAAGGCATTCCTACCCCCTGCTTCTTCAACTGGGCTTTGAATCTTATGTGATTATCTGGCAGCGGCACAGAAGTCTAGTTGTTATAACACACTAATGGCAAAAAGTGTTCCTGGAAAAGAAGTGGCTCTTTTTGGAGCTATTCAAGAGGAGACATTTGAAGTTCTCTGCAATGCTTCTTGTCACAGACAGGCGGGCGGGCGGGCGGGCGGGCGGACGGACGGGCGGACGGGCGGACGGGCGGGCGGAC